GGAGACGCCCCTGCAGCCCCGAGAGCAGTTACCCATGGGAGGCTCGGGCACAGCTACGAGCTACCAGCCAGCTGTCAGCACACACCCTGAGACATCGGTGCGCTGCTGGGTGAATCCCAGCCTCACTTCCAACAGCCTCAAACTGCCCCTACACAGGGGGAAGGGACCGCAGAGCCTGCTACACCTCAGGGAAACGCAGATCGCAGATTTGGTTCTGACCACGCGGTCCGGGCAGTCATGGGAGAAAACACAAGAGCAGAGGTGGAGCAGTGAGCAGGACGCAGGCAGGTGGCACAGCGGTCTCCTCCTAGCAAAGCTCCAAATACAAACCGCAGAGGGGGATTTCTCCGTCGCTTGCAGACACTCTAGCTTTGTTAATCCTCTCGCCCTTGTGCTCCCTGGTGCAAGCTTGCAAGTTGCCTTAATAAAGCAAGACAAAGCGTAAAGAAGCCCAGTTGAATCATGATGGCTCCACGTCCCTCTACTTTAGCCAGGAATGCTGAACACTACTCCCAGGGGCCCATGCTTGTCCAGAAATATTTCACTGTGCTACCTCGTCCGATTCTCATTTTCCCACGCCCTCTGTCTTAATCTGAGGGTAAGATCAGTATCTAATTAGCCACACAAGCTGCTGTTTCCTACTCCGGAATTTACTGTAAATATTTTTGAAAGAAGAGCTGATCCATTGAAGCGGCCCGTGCTGTGGACACCAAGTCATTAATAACAATGGAGTTTCATCATTACAAAAACCCCCCAAAAACAACCACCCCCAGAATCCCACACACAACAAAAAAAGGCAACAAACCCAAAAACCTCCCTGTTGATCCCCAACCCGGTATCAGAAACCCCTTCCCAGATGGTACCTGCTTTGGATTTTCGCCTCCTGTGGGGGTAGCCCCCTCGCTCCTCCTCTCGCTCAGTCAAATACTCCCCTGTCTGGTATTTCCGACTTTTCTGTCGTCTCCTTTTCTTCCTTTTGATGTGGCTGTCATCTTCCTCCTCCTCGTTGGGCTCCCACAGCTGCCTGGGTGATTCCACTCTCCAGGGCAGCTCCCGGGTCCTCCTTGTGTAACAGCTGCTCCTCTCGGACAGAGACCTGTCCCTGGCCCTGCGACTGTGATAGCGGGACGTCCTGTGGGATTTTCGCAGCTTGCGACGTTTCAAGGATGTCTCCTCCTCTTCTTCCTCCTCCTCTTCTTCCTGATCCTCCTCCAGCAACGGTAAAATCTCCTGACCAGTCACATCACACTCTCCCGTCACACCAGCAGAAGAGCCAGCTATGCTTCCTGCAAGAAAGCGGGATTTCTAGCTGACAAAAAAGCCAAGAGTGTCTACAAGAAAAAACCTGCAAGGCAGGGCAGAAGAGGGGCAGAAGGCCAACCAAACAGGGATCGCTCACAGTCCACCCAGGGCTCCCACCCGGGTCCCCTGGCACCAACTCACCCGACTGACTGCGCGTCCGGCTGCTCAGCACCACCGGAATGAAATCCCGGAAGTTGTTCTTGGGCTTCTTCTCAAGGTAACCTGTGGGGAAAACGGAGCCTTGAGAAAACACGCCAGAGATCCGCGCACGCAGGGCTGCTGGCCTGGGAAGGGCAGTCCAGCACCGTGCTGCAGCTCTGTTTTGGATCCCAACCCGCTACGGGACACCACTCGCTCCAGAGGCCGTTCAGCTCCAGGGGAGCAGTGGTGTGGCCCTGTGAGCGTCAGGGCGACAGGAACCCACTGCAGCCTGACCCTGCAAGAACACATGGCCATTCACAAGAGTACCTTCCTCGTGGCCGTCCCCGCGGTGTGCCGGAGATGGGAACTCCGTCTTCGTTGGCCTCCTACGCTTACGCTTTACCCTGAGGCTGGTGTGATCCTTCACTGATCCCAGGCTGGTTCGGCCTTCTCGCTTGCTGAGTTCGTGCGGATTGTCGTGGTGTTTTCGCCACTGTGAATGGAGGACACAGGCTGAAGCTCGAGCTGCCGACTGACCGAGCTGGAGTAGCTAAGGAGAAGGGACAAAACGCTGTCCCCCACTCATCATGCTGGTGCCCTCAAGCATTTTTGACACCCCAGATCCATCTTTGCTCTAGATAACCTGCAGACATGGGTACGTTAATCCACTGCCAGGTAACACCAGAGAGCATGGGTGGAAAGCCCTGTGCGCTCAGCCGCCCTCCCCTGCGAGAGCTCCCTCCTCACCCCCAGCCGCTGCCACAGCGCGGCGGTCACGGCCCATCCCACCCACCTTCTGGCCATGCACGCTCCGGCTCCCCGATTTGCCCGGGGACTCCTCGCCGTCCTGGGCTTGGCACTTCAGTCTCTTGTGGGCCTGCCTGGCGTCCCCATCATGCTGCCGCTTGGACTTGCAGCGCACGCTGCTCTCTTGCTTGATTTGGCCCGCTCCTTTGAGCTTGACCTCGGCAAAGGCCTGGGGAGCAGTCCCGGCTCGCAGGCAAGTCACAGAAGTAAACGACGTGTCACACTCCCCTCGCTCCTTCTTGACCCTGCACAGATCCGCCTGACGCACGCACTGGACGGGCTCCGCAGCTGGCGGCTCCTGGGAGCCTTCGCAGCCCAGCTCCTTGTGTTGACTCTCCGTGGGCGCAGCAGGCACCTCTGAAATCACTCGCAGGCTCTGCTGCCCGGCCGCGGGCAGATCATGCGACAAATATGCCGCTAACACTTGGTTTTTAGGCTTTGCATCCAACTGTTTGAGGCTACAGCTCCCCTGGGGAGCCTCAGTCTGTACACTGCCCTCCTTACTGGAGTCAGCTTCGGGCTGATCACACTCTTGACTCTTCTGAGGGTTGTCCAGCTTCCCCTTCCCCCCTTTCACATCCAAAGCGCTGGTCTGAAGCGATGGACCTGCATCCAGCGGGACTGGATTGGCCGGCTCCTCATAGAGCTTGGGCAAGGCCCGGCAGCTCTTGCTCTTGGCCACAGCTTCCCGCTCCTGCGGCGGGAGCCTGGGCAGCCCCTCTGGCAGGCTCTGGGCGGCCGTGCTGGACTCTGTGGACGGCACGCTCGGGAATGTCGGGAGCTCACCTGCACCAGCTGGCTTGCAGGAGCTGTTCTGGTTCGGGGGCAGCTGCCCTGCGGTGGAGATGCCAATTGAAAGCAGCGGGGTCTGATGATAAGGAGACCAGCCAAGAGGCAGAAGCTGAGGATTGGAAGGTTTTCCATTCACAGGGCATCGCGGGTACACGCTTCCCTGGCCGGGGTTCCAGGTGGAGATGTCCTTGGACTGACACAAAGGAGCTCCTGGAGCAACTCTGCCATGAAGAAGTCTCCTGGCAGGATCCTGCTGTCCTTCTGCGCTGACCTGGTTGGCTTTCTTCCCACAGGGAACGCTGGCGCCGCGAGGCTCTCCCTGATCGATGATAGAAATAGGCTCCTGCTTGGGCAGGTGGCGGGGGTCCCTGCTGAAGCTCACACCGGGGTCCTTGCTGAGCAGCAGCGAGGCAGGCACCGGGTTGGCGACGCCGACGTAGGTGCCTGGAATGGTGCTGATGAGCGTGGTGTTCTTCACCCAGGAGCCCTGCTCGCCGTTGCGCAGGAACTCGGGGAAGATGACTAAGGGAGGGGTGGTGCCGAGACACGAGGTGACGCTGCTGCCCGTAGTCTGGGCTGCGCGCTGGGACTTGGACAGGACGGTGGTGAGAAGCGCTTTGCCGCTGGTGTGCACAGGCGTGAGGATGGGCATGGGAGGTGTTTTGCGTTGACTGGGTGGAGGCAGTTTCTGACGGTTGGACTTGGAGGAGAGATCGAGAGGCATCTCGCTGCACTCGGGAGAGGAGACCATCTCACGCTCTAGCTGTGGAGGCGACTTCAGAGGCGAGAGCGAAGTGGCGGCCCCCGGTGCGTGGGGCTCGGGCGCTGCCGGGGCTCGGGCGTGCGCAGCGGTGCCGGAAGAGGGAGCAGCGCTCCCGCACGATGCTGCCAGCGGAGCCTGGCTGGATGAGAGGGAAGGGCCAGCGGTGGATGGGGGAGCGCCCTCGGCAGCAGCCTGGGCACCGCTTCCGCCTGAGGGCGAAGGGCAGCTAAGCTGATTCACCTCCACAGACACCACTTTGGCGTCTGAAGCCAAGGGTCTGGTGACGGAGAAGGTGTAGGGGTAGGAGCGTAGCTCTGGGGAAGCGATAATGCCCGGCAGGCAACGCTCGTGTAGGTAGGAAGGTAGGACGGGGAGGGTGAGTGTGGAGGAGACCCCCAGGGTGGCTGGAAGCGTAGCCACGCTGAGCGGCTGCCCGCAGCTGGGTGGTGGGATGTACACCAGCGACTGGCTGGGGCTCAGAACCGCCCCAGCCTGAAAGGACAGGGGCATTTTTTGCATAGCAGGGGCCTGAGATGTGGGAAAGCACACTCTGTTCAAAGTAAAAGTAGCGGGAGTGGAGGCAGAGGTGTTGCAGCTGGAGACAACCACAGACAATGTCCCTTCTGCCAGCACGCCTGGCCCTTGTGCTCCGGCGCTTGGGGTGGTTTTCTCCTTCCCAGCAGGCTCGCTCTCTGGAGCCACGGAGCAGGCTGGAGGAGCGTCCGCCGGCTTCTCGCTCTGAGGATCTGCAGGTGTCCAGGCAGCATCAGCACCACTGCTCTCCTGCTCCGCAGCTCTGGGGGTTGCGGGCTCCTGCCCTCTGCCATCCCCCTGGCTTGCCAGAGGGCCCGGGGCATCATCTTTCACAGTCTTTCCCGCACACTCCGGGTTTGGGTTGGGATCAGGCGGCTGCTCTTCCAGTTTGGGCCCAAGCTTTTCCTCCACCTTGCCATCAGCATCCAGCCCCTGGGCACCACTGCCACCACCGCTGACTGCCGTGAGCTCCACCTGCAACAAGAAGGGAGAAGGGTTCCCGAGAGCTGCGCAAGTGGCTCCTAGCGAAGCCGGCAGGGCTCTCCCCCTCTGCTCCCCCCTGGACACAGAGGCAGAAGTCACAAACAGCTCTTGCCAAACCGGAGTGTTGCTTTGCCCTTCCTGCACCTGGGCGCACCCCTCTCAAGAAGGAGCCCGCGGGAGCCGTCAGGGTAGATGCTCTTGCTTGGCCTGTCCCGTCAGGGAAAGGCCTTCTTGGACCCAGACACGCACGCGAGGAGCTCACCTTGGAAAGGCTGCTGCTGACGCAAAACTCTTGAGACCCCAAGTGCTGGGAGCTGCTCGTTTTAGACTCCTCATCAGAAAGGGGGGCTCTCCTAGCCGAGGAACAAGACACAGCATTACAAAACCCCAAGAGACCCTCCCGGCATCCTACCCCTCCCTGTCCCCGCGTGGGACAGCAGAGCAGCTGGCAGCGTGAAGAACATGCCTGCACCAGGTAGCCAGCTCCTCATCATCACGTTACACGGTGGGTACCGCAGACCGAGGGGGTGAGGAGCGCTGCTGTCCACCGCGGTCCTCCCCCTCCCGGAGCTCTGCCCGCTGGGTAGCACCTCCTCACACGTAAAAGCTTACCCCAGGACTCCGACGGGCCTGACGAGACTTTCTCCATGGCCCAGCATGGGCCTTCTGTATGCCTTCCTCACCCACGGCCATTTTCACCCCCCCGGTCTCGCCACGGGCCAGCCCAGCCCTCCCTGACTGCACTGCGTCGCAGCCTGGCTCCACGCACCCGCTCCCGTCCCCTCCGCTTCCCGTTCTGCCCCACCACACGTTTCCAGCCCCATCCCGCTTGTCTCTTCTTCCACAGGCACCTCCTCATTCCCCTTCCTCCGTCTCCCAGCCATGCTCACTCCCTGCCCTGGGACTTCCCAGCCCAGCTGCTCTCCTCCAGCACCAAAGCCCTTCAGGCTTAAGCCGTCCCTGACGGGAGCCGCGGGCGCCTGCAGCCACCCCAGTGCTCAGTGTCCTGCCGGCCCCCACGTTGGACCCTTTCTCTTTGGAAGACAGTTCCTAAGGGGACAGCTTGATTTCAGGATAAGGATTGCGAACTCTGCGGGAATGGGGCGCACCGAGGAGGCGGCTGTCCTCAGGATCTGTGAGAAGACCGGACAGGGGACAGCGCTGGCGTGCGCAGCGCCCTGCCCCGCGACGCTCCTGCGCCAGCGGTGCCGACCCGGTGGCGATGCTCTGGCCTTTAAGGGCCGTTTAGACAAGCTGCTGGTGCCAGGATAGCGCCGCTCGAGTTGGGTTTCTGCCGACGACGTGATTTCGTCTGGATTTGCCCCCCTACCTCCCAGCTTTCACGACGAAGGAACGGACACCAGCGACGGGAGGACGCTTTCTGCTCGGGCTGCCGCATCGCCAGCACCGGGA